TGATGCTCAGCACAATTTGGAAATTCTTAAAGAGTCTTATGTAATAGAATAGTGTAGGATCTTTGTCCCAAAATTGCTGTGGCTTTAGCTGGGATGTGGACCTGCCTTCCTTTGGCCTGTATGCTGAAGAGCAGGGCCCGGAGAGCTTCAGGGCCAGAATCATTCCCATTCTTGTTTACATTAAACTTCCTAAAATATTTGAGTACTTGTTTAATTGAGTTTTCTTAAAGAGACAAATTTTTATGTAGATGTTTATCAACATGCTGCAGCTTAGATTCTTCTTAAGTGGTTTTGGTTTTTGGACACCATCTCACATATAATTATGATTTTTAAGATTTTCATTTTCACTTTAATATCCAGAGAGAATTTAATAAAGAATTACTATATGCAAAGAAATTTAAAGTATACACTTTATTACTTAAGATCAAATTGGTCATTGGCTTTGTGCTGCATCATGCATATGCATTTAAAAATAAAGAACATGAAATGTATCCTAAATGGGCAATTTTCTAAGATACAAGCTCTTAGTAACACAGTGCTCAGTTTTACAACATCATCACTTACCTTTATAGCTTTATAACTTACCAACAGAATTATAGGATGATGTTTGTGTAGTTCCTAGTCTCGAACTCTGTGTATGATGATCTTGGAAGTCACAACTCTCTGTTCTAACAAGTCAAAGGCTGAACAGACTAAAAAGAAAATCAAGAACTTTATTGAATCCATAAAAGATGGGAGGACACAGGACAAATGTTCCCAAGACTGAACAGAGGCAAGGTAATATAGGGAGTCACATATTATCAGATTAGAGATTCAGGAGCAGAATCCAGTAGAGGAACCAGTATCCAGGTAGGAAAGGCTGAATTGGCATTGATGGAAATGCTAGAGCTGCCATATAGACAAGCCCAAGAGCTAAAAACTTCAGGAAACCCACTTATCAGGACATGCTATAATATTGTGGAGTTATATTTATAATATTTATTTACAATATTATGTCTAAATATAACATTATGAAGATTTTGACCAGGTTCCCAGTAAATATTAGAGAAAAATCCTTACCTGCTTCAAATAGGAGGAGGGGGAAAAATCATTTTGATTTGAGGGAGAGTGAATGAGAGAGAGAGTACATGAGCAGGGGCAAAAGGAGAGGGAGAAACAAGCTCCCTGTTCAGCAATGAGGCAGGGCTCAAACCCAGTACCCCAGGATCATGACCTGAGCTGAAGGCAGATGCTTAACTGACTAAGCCACCCAGGTACCATGAAAAAAAACATTTTGAAGTATCACAGAGCACTCTGTTCTTCCTAAAAATATTTTCCTTCAGATAATGAAAGCCTAAACTGCCAGGGTATTATCAGAGCCTAATTGACCTGGTGGAGGGGAAATTTCCATTGCTCATCCTCTCTAGTTGTCCTGTTCCACCTAAGGGGAGGAAGAGGGGGAAAAAGGGTTTCTCACCCTGACAAACCTTTGTGAAGTTCACAGTCTAGAGGTACAGGTTCACTCACAAACTGAGAACTAATCATAGAACAATAGAATACTTCCCCTCTCCCCAGATTAAGGCCTATCTACAAGCAGTTCTTTTTATCCAGTATATCATTTCCAGTTATGAAGAAAATATCCCATGACATACTAAAAGACAATAAAAATAAAAACCAACACAAAAACCTGAAATTTGAAGAGACAGAGAAAGCACAAGAAAGATACATGACAGGGATTTTGGAATTATCAGACCGGGTATTTCAAATAACTATGGTTAATATGCTAAGACCTCTAGTGGATAAAACAGCATGTAAGCAAAGATGGGCAATGTAAATAGAGAGATGGAGGTCCTGAGAAAGAATCAGAAAAAAATCCTAGAGCTCAAAAACATTGTGACATAAGTGGAGAATGGCTTTGAAGGGCTTATTGGTAGCCTGGACACTGCTGAAGAATGATGTCTGAGCTAGAGGACATTACAACAGAAACTTCCAAAACTGAAAAGCAGAGAGAACAAAGACTGAGAAAACACAACAGATTATCCAAGGACATTGCAACATGAGGTGTAATGTATAGAGTGGGGATACAAGGAAGAGAAGAAGGAAGAGAAGGAAGAGAAAAAGGAACGGTAGAAACTTTTGGAAGAATAATGACTGTGAATTTCCCACCAAATGAATGTTGGACAGAAAACCACAGCAGAGAACATGAAGCAGGATAAAGGAAAAAAAAACAAAACAAAAAACCCTATGCCTACGCATATCATTCCTAAGATACAGAAAATCAGTGAAATCCTTAGAGAAATCAGAGGGATAAGACACTTTACCCAAAGAAGAACAAAGGTAAGGAGTATACATCTCTGAAATTGTACAAATGAGAAGACAGTAGACTGAAATATTTAAGGTGTTGTGGGAGAAAAACAACAAAGAACTACCAACCTGGAATTTGCACCCAATGAAGTCATCCTTCAAACTGAAGGACAAATACTGTCTCAGACAAACACAGATTGAGGTTTTTGTTTTTTTTTTTGTTTGTTTGTTTTTTGTTTTTCCCAGAAAACTTACTTTGCAAAAAAAAAAAATGTTTTTAGAGGAAGGAAAATGATATAAATCAGAAACTCAGATTTACCTAAGGGAAAGAGAGCCTTGGAGAGGAAGCAAAGATAAAAACTTCTCAAATTACCAAGGATAAATAAGGACATTACATAATAATGCCCTTGCTTCCTCAAGGAGGCAAGACCATTCTTAATATGTATGCACCTAACAGTAGAATGTCAAACAACATGACACAAAAACTAATAGAATTGCAAGGAGAATAGATGAATCCACTATCATAGCTGAAGACTTCTACACCCATCTATCAGAAATGGATAGATCTATCAGGCAAAAAATCAAAGGTCATAGTTGAACTCATTAAGTCTTGCTATTCTAGAAGTGGAAGAAAACATTTAAGCAGTGTTTGTAATAAAATATCATTAGGGACCTGGGAGAGAGAGTTGGTATTTCATGCAACTTAAACCAATTAATTTCTGCGGCTTATTATAATAAATTCCAATTAGTACACTTTTTACTTTTTCACAATTTTCTCATCTCTAAAATAAGGATTATGTTTTAGAAAACAATTACAGTGATTAATAACTTTTGCTTTAGGCAGCATTTCCCAAGCCAAAAGTGTATCGAATAGAATAAGAAGCTTCCCAAATTCCCTACCAGGACCTGAGGAGCAAAGATGAGAAGAAAGAAGGACGAAAATTACATTGACCAAATAGGTACTTGGAGGAGGAAGTGTGTGTAATGCTAAAATAGCTTCTTATTGATTTTGGGACGGGGAACCAGATTTGTGGAGAAATAAACTTCCACAAGCCATGGAAATAGCTCTGTGTAACACACTAAAATATTTCTTCTTTTTTTTTTAGTCAAAAAGACTTTATTGAAAATTTGAATGTTTGAGAAGTTTATTAAAAATGTCAGAAGGTCCTAAAGCATATGCCTAAATAGGATCACAGATTACTATTAAACTTAATGTTTCACTATTTATTTAACTGAGGTGGTAGCAAAGGGTTCCAAAGGCAAAAAAAACATCAGGTTATGTAGTTGTTAGCAAAACTTTGCTCCTTTAATTTTGAGAAGTTTTAACTGTTTCATGTAGTCAGAGACCTGATAAGGACAAAACAGAAACTTTGCTTACAATTTCTTATTAAGAGCAGAGCAGTGCTCCAAAAGAACTTTGTCTTTTTAGCAGAGAGAAAAGTCAAGTTTCAGTTTTATAGCAGTGTACTTTTAAAACTCATTTATTACAATCCTAATTGATCCTGACCCCAGAAAAAAATTTTTCCAGAGAATCTCCTTCACAAATCTTTTTTTTTTTTTAAGATTTTATTTATTTATTTGAGAGAGAACATAGAAGGAGAGTGGGATGGAGAAACAGACTCAACTGTGCAGACAGCCTGGTGCTAGACTCAGTCCCAGGACCCTGAGATCATGACCTGAGCTGAAGGCACATTCTTAACCAACTGAGCCCCCCAGGCACCCTTCTCCTTCACAAATCTTTTACATTTTTTTCTTTTTCTTTTTCAATGCAGATTTTGTTGTAAGTTTTTTCTCTCTAAATAATCAGTTTCATTTTAGGACAAAATTAGTTTCTTTTCCCTTAACAAAAATTTCATTCCTATTTTCATTCTTTATGCCTTGTTATGCATCTCTTACTTTCTCATATACAGAGTGGCTTCCCTGATCCATTCTAGCATCTTAATTACATTTATCATAATTTGAATTCTTAGAAAACTTAGTTTCTAAAAACCAAGTAGTAACCAATTGTGAACTATCCTACTCCCACATCTTCCTAAGCCTCTCTTGATAATTAGCTTTTATTTTACCTGAGCTTATTAGCTAAATTCATGTTGCAAGTGGTGCAGTTTGCCAGCAAAAGTGATTTAAGATAATGGTTGATTTTTGTCTCAGGAAATTTTCATGGGTAATTGTTAGAACAAGTCAAGTTAGTTGAAAGATAAAAAGCATAGTAGACAAACTATTAAATAGCTTTCAAAATATTTGGTAACATAAAACTTTGACGTTTTACTAGGTTAAATAATAAATTGGGTTGAATTTATTGATATCTAAATCTTTTCCAAATAAGATAAAATGCTGAAACATTAATTACATAATTACATAAGTTTAAAATATTCTATTTTAATGCTAGTGTCAGGATAATATTCCAAGGTGTTGAGTATTACATGATGGATCAAGATCACTGTAATTTTGTATGGCATCTTAAAGTCAGCTAATTTTCTTTTTCTCTCTACCCTAAATTGGGAAATGTTTTCCAGGTACCTCAAATGGGCGCTGTGATTTTGAATTTTTTTTTTTTAATTTTTATTTATTAATGATAGTCAGAGAGAGAGAGGCAGAGACACAGGCAGAGGGAGAAGCAGGCTCCATGCACCGGGAGCCCGATGTGGGATTCGATCCCGGGTCTCCAGGATCGCGCCCTGGGCCAAAGGCAGGCGCCAAACCGCTGCGCCACCCAGGGATCCCTGTGATTTTGAATTTGACCTTTGTTCTTGGGAGCAGGAGCAGGATGATGACTTTGACTGGAATCTGAAAGTTAGCAGCATCCCTGCTGTAGGCATGGAGCCAGCTGCTGATCACACCATACGAAAGTCCTCTAGACATTACATCTTCATAAAGAGCTGTTTCCCTCAGCATCCCATGATAGCAGCCAGAATTTCAAGCCCAGTCATAAGTAGATGAAACAAAAACTACAAGGTGAGAAAAAAACCCAGAAATGTTATAAGTGACTGCTGATAGAGGTAATACAGAAAATGCAATGACCAGGATCAAACCAAAGCTGAAACATGAATTTCTTCAACCTAGGACATGTATGGAAAGGAGAAAATAAAACAAGAATGAAAGAGAAGGGCTATTAAAACCATGGAAAGCATTATCCTATTAATGAATTCCATAGATATTTGAATTTGGAAACTACTGGAAAACTTCATGGTTATTATCTGTAACTATGCATAGTACAAAATAAGTAAAATGCAGCTGCTTCCCCTCAACGAATTAGTACTTACTATAATTAGGAGAATGTCACCATCAGAAAGAAAATTCAAGCAGTTTATAGTTAAATATTCCCAAGAATGAATGTTAGAGATAGTTGGAGCCACTATCAAATGGTTGAAGAAGACTTCATGAAAAAGTAAAGGCTAAAATTAGCCCTAAAGAAGGTAGAAGAACTTCTATAGGCAAGAAAAAAAGATAGTTTGGCCATTATCCCTTGGAACTTTTAAAGGAAAATGTTAGTACTACTAAAATTATAAATAGGATTGTATTGCTCTTTGGGACAACCAGCCTCTATGATGACTGTGTATTTTCAGGTCCTCCCTTTCTCTCCATTGATTGTTTTTACTTCACAAATGATTTAAGTTAGCTGAATTAGGATCTAAACTTCACTTTACACATGTAAATTAAATGCTCAGGGATGACGTCACAAGAATTTTGCTTACAAGAATGGTATATGAATAAATGTGCCATCTATTTATATCTACAATGAGAAATGTGATTTCTGTAAGATCTGAACACACATATTTGGACTGGTGTTTTCTCCAGGGTCTACACACTGAAAGGAAAGCAAATTACATCCAAAAAGTTGCCAGCTGATCAAAGAGACCAAGACAGGCTGGGAGACAATAAGATGATTGAAATCTTTATTGTCATCCAGATGTAATATTTTTGTGTACCTGGCTCTCCTACAAAGCTCTAAACTTTACTCCTTTACTCAAATAACCTGCACCCATTACAGATGTTTGCATCTCTGTTTTATACTGACCAGTATATATACTGACTTCCTACCATTGTTGTGCTTTTAATACATGTTAAACTTTTAGTTTGTATTGGATGTTTTTCTGTCTTATCGTAAGTTGGTTTCATAGTTTAACTCTCAGCGGGTAACCTCATTTCTATTTCTTCAGGGACATTTGATAGAATTTTCATGATTAGAGTTTTAGAGAGATAACTCAACAGTCTAGAGTAGATATAACAAACAGAGTAACATTAAACTGTATCCTGTGCGTTTGGCAAAAAAAGTGTTTTTTTTTTTAAGATTTTATTTATTTATTCACAAGAGACAGAGAGAGAGAGAAAGAAAGAAAAAGGAAGGAAGGAAGGAAGGAAGGAAGGAAGGAAGGAAGGAAGGAAGGAAGGAAAAGAAGAAAGAAAGAAAGAAAGAAAGAAAGAAAGAAAGAAAGAAAGAAAGAAAAAGAAAGAAAGAAAGAAAGAAAGAAAGAAGAAAGAAAGAAAAAGAAAGAAAGAAAAAGAAAGAAAGAAAGAAAGAAAGAGAAAGAAAGAAAGAAAGAAGAAAGAAAGAAAGAAAGAAAGAAAGAAAGAAAGAAAGAAAGAAGAAAGAAAGAAAGGGGCAGAGACAGGCAGAGAGAGAAGCAGGCTCCATGCAGGGAGCCTGATGTGGGACTCCATCCCAGGTCTCCAGAATCATGCCCTGGGCTGAAGGCAGCGCTAAACCTCTGAGCCACCCGGGCTGCCCCCCCAAAAAAGAGTTTTAATCAAATATATTTCTGTCTGTTTTTGTTGTTTTCCAAATTACTTGATAACTTTCTCAAAAACAAAGCCCAAGCACACCGGATTTTTATATGTCAAGTCTTTATATATCTCTCTACATCCATAAAATATTCTGAAATTTGCAAATTTGTTTTAGTCTTAGAAAGCTAATTAAAAATTAAATATAAAATGTATAGAATTCCAGCTTGACTTCTCAGCTTTTCTATGTAGGCTTCCTGTGAAAACGCTCCAAAGGTTTGTTTTTCATACTCTAGCAACTCAGGATTTTATCTCTCTCTATTTTTCCCTGGTCCTGAAACTGTAGTCCCTACTGTTTTAAACACCTGTGTGAGAATAATGAAATATGCCTAGAAGAAATGTCAAAAAAATTAATGATGAATGGTTTATTTTATGAATATTTATGATATAGATTGAATACAAAGGAGTGAGGAAAGGTCATGCTGGGAATGATTGTGTCGCTCATATAAAAAATATGTATATCAGGTAAGCAATAGTGACCTCCCAAATTTTCATGAAAATCCTTTCTGTCACTTGACCTTGTAGAATACCTTCAAGCAGAACAAAATCAAATTGAAGATTTTTCTTCCTTTTGAGGGATGAGGGGTGGGAGGAATGAGACAGATGGATGTGGGTAGAGATGAGACCTTTGAGTAACTCTGAAATTTCCATTGAAAGTGCCTCTCTACAAGAATTTAGTACTTAGAAGAGTTTTATTCCCTCACAATGCCCTGTGATTAGACCGTGTTGTTGTCAAGTATTTTCTGTAAAAATAGAGGGGTTTATATGTTTGTTTGCGTGCTAGCTACATAGGATCATTCAAAAAGTGACCTCATGAAGACAGGGAAATATTTCCTGTGACATGAAACATGGGCCTGAGATTTGTTGCACAAATAAGACAAAATAAGGCAGAGCCCTAGAAAGACCATGTCTGTGACTGCAGGGGATCCAAAAAGACATGTTATGCCAATCATACAGGCGTAAGCCACATATGTTCTTACTCTAAGGAGTCATGTGACCCAGATTTCATGGGTCCTCTCCCAGAACAAGTCATAATGATCACAGAGCTCGTGTTGGAAAGGTTTGTCAACAGAAGGAACCATTTTGGATTACAGAAGAGTACCTGCAGGTTTCATCAGCTGGGAAATTTGAGTAGAGTCACTTCACATGGCTTACCTATTCTCAGTTGATGCTTTTTGAAGTGTGCATTGCATATTTTGTTTAATCAAATTCTTTACCCTTAAGCACCTTCGTTTCTTTCTTTCTCTAGAGAGTAATATCCATGACTATTAGTGTTTCAATAAAAATGTCTTTTTCCTGTGTGATCATTCACCTTTACTGTGTTCATTCATATACATGACAAGACAAAAGCTTGAAAATGCTCTTGAGTTCCTATTATTTCTAACCTGCACTGTTGTTTCTTTGAGAACTTCCCCTGACTTTTCCCTTCTGTGTGATAATTACTAAAAATCTGGTGAACTCCCATCTTTGAAACATTAGGATGTTAATACTTGCAAATACTTATATTAATTTTTCTTTGGTGGGAAAATACCCTAGGCTTCTCTCTGCCATCATGTTTCTAACATTTCAACTAAATTTGGGTAATGCTGTTCTGGTAGTTTGATGGCATATAGTAGAGTCCTGAAGATCTTGTCAGACTAAAAGTGTGTTTCAAGTGCAAGAATATAGTAGAATAAGCAACAGCATACTCTACTATTTTAAAGAAAATGATTTAAATTTTATGAGACTCAGCCATTAGACACGACAAATACCCACCATTTGCTTTGACGTGGATGGAACTGGAGGGTATTATGCTGAGTGAAATAAGTCAATCGGAGAAGGACAAACATTATATGGTCTCATTCATTTGGGGAATATAAAAAATAGTGAAAGGAAAAAAATAGTGAAAGGGAATAAAGGGGAAAGGAGAGAAAATGAGTGGGAAATATCAGAAAAGGAGACAGAACATGAGAGACTCCTAACTCTGGGAAAAGAACTAGGGGTGGTAGAAAGGGAGGTGGGTGGGGGATGGGGGTGACTGGGTGAAGGGCACTGAGGGGGGCACTTGATGGGATGAGCTCTGGGTGTTATTCTATATGTTGGCAAATTGAACACCAATAAAAAATAAATATATAAAAAGTTTTATGAGACTGAAAATGGTCTTCTTTGCTTCCTACTATTGCTTAATCATGGAAAGTCCTTAGACAATGAATCACTTTTCATGATATTTTATTCCTTAGAGGGTGGACTTTAAGAGTTTATCAAGGAGTCTGCATTTAAAAGTCAGATGAAAAATAAACTCTGCTCAATTTCCCCCCCAAATCTTATTTGATTCTTACTGCTTTGTTTTCCTTATACTACAACTTCTAATTTTTTTTTTCTATAACTTCTAATTTAAGGCTGGCCTAACTTCACTCACAGAACAATAGGACATGCAGATCTAGTTTTCCTTTTTCCTTTAGGAGTCTGTTCACAAAGGAGAGGGCAATATAATATAAAGTAAAGTAGAATTGTACTAATTAAATGCAATATTCCTATTTTTGGTTACAGATAATTTTTCATTATCACATGTATGGAAATGGCATTAGGGCACTTGCCTTGATCCAGGTATCAGTCTCGAACCAAACAAGGGTCCTACTTAAACTCACCATAGAACAAGGCAATTTCTGGCAGCAGAAAGAACTATCACTGCCTGGTGATGAGGACTTCCAACTCAAATTTGAAGGCAGAGTTGGTGAAGGACACCATGGGGATATTGCCCTGGATGACATCGTGCTTACAAAGAGTTGTCTGTCATTCCATCATTCCATGAAAGAAGAACTCGCAGAACCTCTTCCAACAGGTACATCTTATGTTGTGATTGTTCGGTATTTTTACAGAGTGGAAGGTGGGAAGGAAGGAAAGAAATGGAAAAGAAATGATATAAACACCTAGTAATATTTTGGTTTCATAAAGAAAAAAAATCTTAAAAAAATATTTCAAGCTTTGACTCCTAATGCCGTCCTCTCAGTTTTCTCCAAGCTTCGGTATGTTTACCAGTTTCTGATTTCTGTTTAGTCAGTTGCTTCTTAGATCAGTAAAATGAGAGAAGACTCGTTTGTTTGCAGTCTGATTCAGAATTCAGTTTTTTATAAATATCATTTACTCAATAAAATATAAAAACATCAAGAACAGAGTTATTTGATTTTAGTCAGGCATGGCTATGAATGTGCCATTTACTTTATTCTTTTTAGACCTGCAGACATGAATTTGATTTGAACGATTGTGTTTACATATTTAAACAGTTTAGGATTAAATAGTTTAGTAGGTTGAATATGTCCATATACTCTTTTAAATTAAAATATCCTTTGGTAACTTGTCTAAAGAATTTTATTAAAATGTTGAGTTAGTATATACTCAATATAAAATGTTTAGTGACAATGTTGTAAAAAGTGGAAATAGTAAGCACCATTAATCCACATGATATACCAGGGGTATGGAATGAGAACAAATGCAGTATATATTATTAAAATGATAAAACATAAGATTTTGACAATTGATATGACCTATTAATATTTCAACTGTGAGTTTAGTAAAGAAACCAAAAGTGCCATTCCTTTGCTATAGAAATTATATCTTTTATAATTAGTGAAAACAAAAGTGATTTATTTATTTATTTATTTATTTATTGGAGTTCAATTTGCCAACATTTAGCATACTACCCAGTGCTCATCCCACCAAGTGCCCCCCTCAGTGCCCATCACCCAGTCACTTCACTCCCCCCCCCCGCCCACCTCCCTTTCCATACCCCTTGTTCATTTCCCAGAGTTAGGTGTCTGTCATGTTTTGTCGCCCTTACTGATATTTTCACTCATTTTCTCTCTAAAAGTGCTTTAAAAAGAATGTTTGCTCTGGCTTTTAGCATGGTAGATGGAATAAGGAACATTGCATTTCTGCCTTTACTTCTCCATTCATGTCAAAGGGAGTATTTTAATTTTAAGAGGAAACTTCTAGATAAGTGCTTCCCAGTTGACAACTGGTTGAACAGAGTCTTTTTCTGACACGTTCCTAGCACTATGTGGGATAGCATAGAGAAAAACAAATGAATATTTGAAGGCTGTTTAGAGATAAGTATCCTTATATAAATGTAATGCAGGAGCATTTCAGAAGCCTCAGACTTAATCTTTTTCCTGGAGAAAAGCTTTGCTTTCCATTCTGTGTCGACTATTTGGATGGCAGCTGTACTAGCTTGTGTATAGGTCTAGTTTTGAAAAAATAATCTTATAGCATCTAAGTAGTAAGGGAGCAAGTTTTATATTGAACCACTTCAAACTTTAATGAACAACTACAAAGTAGGATCTAAGAGGAACAAGCCAGTCTTGTTGGGAGTATCACATTCTTAAATCGTGAAATCTTGGCTAAAAGTTATTTTAAAACAACTTGCAAAAGGAAAATTTAAAAGTATTATAAAGTGGCATAAAATATATATTATCAAATGAAGGATGTATTTTAATAACAGTAGAATTCTTTGTATATCTTTATAGATACTTGAGGTATCATATTACATTTTTTGATGAATGGAAAATAAAATAATCTCTGCTCTTAAGAATAAATCAGTATGGTAAGGGGAGTAGGAGAAACACTTCAAATAACTCTAATATTAGATAGGCTATAATTAAATGCCAGGAAAAACAAAAATTTATGAGGATTCAAAGAAAATGAAGGAAACCCCCAAATGAGGACATTGATTTGAGACTTATTTATAGGATATGCAGGAGTTTGAACCTGTACCTAGGGCTAGGAAGGAAAGACTCCAGTTGGCAGTATAGGGGCACCATGTGTGGGTTCAGTAGACCAAATAATGAATATGGGGAAGAAAGCACGGTAGACAAGCCTACGGCCATGAGACAAGAGAGAGGGTGCCACACAGACTGCCAAAGTGGCCTGTTCTGTGAATGGGTAATTTGGCTGAAGCAGGAACCTTTCACTAAGTCTCTGTGTAATATTACAGAGGAAATGGGGAGCTAACCTGGGACCACCTTGATATTGGTTTGTTTCCATTGTTTCCCCAAATGAACATACATTGAAAATGTATTGACTGGTCTTAGGAGACAAAAAAAGAAAGAAGGAAGGAAGCGAAGAAAGGAAGGGAAAGTAAAGAAAACAGGAATAGGTAAAAAGAAGGTACAGTATTCATTTGCATTAAAGTATGATAACTGGTAGAAATGGCTGCAGTTAGACACCAAGAAGGGAAAAAAATGAACAAACAAAAAAAGTCTTTATTTATATTATTAGTGAACATTCTGAAAAATAAGGAGAAATATTTTAATTTTTCACAGCTCCCTTAGCTACAATGCCCACATTTAAATGCAGCAGATGAGAAATACGTGTGTATGACATTAATATTCTTATAAACTTAGAGGTATTTGTAACTGTGCCTCTAAAAACTAAAAATTTATGCCTTTGTCTTTGGAAAAGTGAAAAGCTATACCTTGTTTAGACTTGAACTGTCAAGTAATTCTGATAAACTATGACTTCATCATGGGTTTAAAGGACTCTGTTGGAGTCACTGATATTTTTAAAGGAAAGCACCCTCTATGTAGACTTTGGGTGTTGGTAGAGAGTGGTATCCTGAACACATCACTGATATCATGAATGTCTTACAGAAGTATAGAGAGTCATAAATGTAAGCCACATATGTAATTTTACATTTTCTAGTAGTTATATCTTAAAATGTGAAATTAATATATTTTCATTAACCTAATATATAAAAAAAGTATATTTTCAATACAAACACAATAGAAAAATATTGAGATATTTTACATTATTGTTTTCATATTAACTCTTTATTTTTTATTTTTTTCATATTAACTCTTTAAATCCAGTGTATATTTTACACTTACAGCACACCTCATTTGGGATTAGCTACATTTCAATTAATTTCATAAGTGAATAGCCACTTATGGCTAATGGTCAAACTAGTGGGCAGTCCAGGATGTAAAATGAATATTATAGGGCACTTTCAGGTCCATCCATGGGTTTCCATGGACAATGTAAAGTTTATGAATATCCAAGAATTGCAGTTGTATTCTTCTTTAAATAGAAGCACAACACCAAATGTGAAAGCACAGCTGCCCTGTTTGAGTAGACTAGCTACTAATCTCAGACTCCTTTCTTACTACTATGTATTGCATAATTGCCCTGAGACTCAATTTCCTCATCCATGAAGCAGAGAGAATATCACTTGTTTCTTAGGCCCTTGAAAATAAGAGGTCACTGCTTCTGTGATTTGCCTAATCTCATGTCTGGTGCATGGTAGACATTTTATTCAATAAAATCAACCCATATTATCCTTTGGTCATCTTTGTCAATATTCCTTAGGTGGTGTAGTAATTTGAGAGTAAGTCTTCATTATTTGCACCTTATTAAAAATATGTTTCTACCATTGGTTTTGACAAAAATATTTTCATCGCAGAGATTACAAACATATAATTTTTACACTGCATTGTAATTATTGAATTTTATCACTTACTGACAGTCCAATTAGATATTTTTGAAGTGTCATGAATAATGTGTGTGCACATGTGTATCTTTGAAAGCCTTAATGGTCGTTAATTTCTCTTTGCTGCAAAAACATTCAACTTGGAACTTGCACAGATTGAAGGGAGTAAATGGTATTATGTGCCATAAGCAATGGCTACATCCATTAAACTCTTAGAAATGACTCATATTCATGTATTTTTCATCAATATTTATGGGGGTAGGGTAACAACTCCATCAAGGATAGTTTAAAATAGAAAAGATAAGACGAGGCAAAACATATATATTTAGGAAAATGCAATTGAACTGAATCTGGAATCAGTGATTCTAATTAGTCAAATAAGACCAAGGGCTTCATTAGCAAAAGTAATATTAAACTATTATTTAGCCTCTAGAAGTTATATTTAAGAGCTCATTTTGATGGCAATTTTGCTAATTGCTAAGTGATGTTGAATAAAAGCAATTGTTTAATGAATTTTAATAAGAAAAAGGCAACCAAGATTCCTCTTCTGAATGTCCATATGCAAATTTAGTCACTATCAAATTCTCTGTAATGTTGGCAGACATTTAATAAAAAGTCCAACTATGATGGAGGCAGAGAGCAGGTGTATGTGTGTGTGTGTTTGTGTATGTTTCAAAATCCCGCAGTCATTTCCAAATATGAGTTATACAACAAATATATTTTGGGATATCACATGCTAATCAATTTTTGCTCTAAAAAATGTAAGGCAATGGGCACTAAATGGATTAGCTCCTCTTTGAGGTCACTCATTTCCCTGAAATATTTGGCTGTAATTTAAAAGGCTGCTTGCGAACTACTGATGAGAATGCTGGCGCAGCAACTCAGGCAGAGTCCTGAGTTAGGAAGAATTTGGCTGATTGTACTTGGCTCTAATTTAGTGATCCCTGTACACAATGCTTAGTGCAAAATGCATGTGTCTGAGGTTTAAAGACATGGGCTTGGACCTTTGCACGGCCCAATACAATGTGTAATATCACTTGATCTACTTAACCTCTCTGATTCCTTCCTTGTCTCTAAAAATGGGACTACTGGAATTTACTTCGGAGTAATTTGAAAAATAATTAAGATAATAATATGCAGTGTGTTTTAAACAATACTTGGCAAATAGTTGGTGTTCAGCAAATGTTACTTTCTTTTTTTCCCTGTTACTCTTCTTTCCTGCTAGAGAGATTACAAAGTTTAACTGTGCACACATTGAAATTTATTAAAAACATATTGCCTACTAGCTGTTTTTTCACCACCATGTTCCACTTATTGCTCAAAGCAAGGGTTCAGAACTCCTCTGCCTTTCTCATTCCCTTCAAAGAAATTGCCCTCACAAAAGCT